GTGTAGGGAGGACGGAGGGGGCCCCCGAGTTTCTGCTGTGGTGCGGAGAGCTGCGAAGGCCTGGCCTGAAAAGGTAAGGGCGAGGCAGGGGATGCAGAAGAGGCCGGGCCAGAGACAGAGATAAACAGAGAGAGGGGGAGAGAGAGAGACATAGAGAAATACAGAGACGGGAGGGGGAGAGAGAGACACATACAGAGATACAGAGAGAGAGGATGGGGGAGAGAGAGAGAGAGAGAAAGATACAGAGAGAGGGGGGAGAGAGAGAGACATAGAGATACAGAGAGAGGGGGAAAGAGACACATAGAGAGATACTGGGGGGAGAGACAGAGACATAGATACAAAGAGGGGGAGAGAGAGACAGAGATACAGAGGGGGGAGAGAGAGAGACAGAGAGACGGGGGGAGAGAGAGATACAGAGAGACGGAGAGAGAGAGACACATAGAGAGATACAGAGGGGGGAGAAAGGGAGAGGCAGAGAGAGATACAGACGGGGGAGAGAGAGAGACATAGAGAGATACAAAGAGAGAGGGGGAGACAGAGAGGGAGGATTTTGTGGTTCCCATTGTTTTTTAGCAACCGGTTCTCTGCCCTAATCACCAGCTGGATAGGCATGGCTTGGGGGCTGTCATGGGACTGATGAAAGTAAGTGACGTCGAGTTGGCCACGCCCACCAAATGTTTGTGGAGAATTTGGAACTTCAGCCTCGCTCTTTTAGCCCAGTGGAAGCACCAGACTGGGCCACAGCAACGTGTGGCCGGGTACAGCTAGTGTATTAATAGAAAAGCAACTAACTTATCTCTGTTCTTAAACGCTAATGCTGTTTAAGCACATAAAAAACAGAGGAACACTGATCACAGCCACCATTTTGACAGTTTTGCTGTACTGTTGTATGTGGACGCCGCCCCCCCACCTCCTCCCATCCCCACCCCCCGGAAATGTAAGCATGGGATAAACTGAGACTGGTTTGTTCTCAGTCTTATAAGTAGCCACAAACTACTAGCAAAAGTGGCATTTGATCACAAGGCGAGGAGGCATCGAGAAAGTTTTCTCCTTTTGCATTTGAGCATCCACGAAGGGACAGGAAAGACAAAGAAAAAGAAGAGGGGAAGAGAGCAAGGAAGGAAAAAGAAGGAAGAGGGAAGGAAGAAGAAAGAAAGGATAATGAAGAGGGAAGGGAAAAGGGAAGGAAGGAAGGTGCCCAAACCCCCAAAATGCAATGCATGTGCATGTGCACCTTAGCACTTGGTCACAGCAGCCCTGCTGCCTTTTGCCATCCCCTTGCCCCCTCCTCCTGACCTCTCCTGGTGGTCTCTCATCATATCACTGAGGATGCTTTGATTAGAAGCCAGGTCTCCTCACAAGGAGAGGGTGTGGGTCTCCCTCTGACCCACACACTTTGCCTTCCCGCAGACACCATGAGCAACCTAGCACAGCAGCAGTGGGAGCTGGCCGCACCCAGTCCACCCCCTTGAAGTCAACCACAATCCTGATGCGGCCCTCAATGAAATTGAGTTTGATACCCCTGCTTTAGAGTTTGGAGTTTAATATTTACTAGAAACCTGTCACCCATTTGATCATTTTTCTTTCACATGTAATATAGGCTTGCACTATTTTCTCTTCCTCATGACCCCGAGGTAAATGCTCCTCTCCTCTCCTCTTTCCTCTCCTCTCCTCTCCAAAGCTGGCAAAAAGTTACAAGTTGAAGCCAATGGGCAGGTGAATGAGGATGGAGGAGTGAGAGGTGCATGAGGATGCAGTAAAGGTCAGCAAGGATGCTCAGAGATGTCATGCACATGAGGAAAGGTGTCCAGGAAGTGTTGTCTGAGTCAGGAAGAGCAAATGGGAGTGTAGGTCATGAAGGGTTCCCAGAGATGTTGCATGGGTAAAAAAACATGCACAGGGTGCATGAAATATGCCATGTTGGTTGGGAAGAAGGCATGGTGGTGTAATAGTCCTGGTAGGGTCGGCAGGGATGCAAAAAAAAAAAAAAATAGTACAGGAAGACACATGAATCTAGGTGTAGATTCTAGGTTGGGAAGAGTTGCACAGGGATGCAAGAAAGATGCTGCATGGATTGGGAAGGGCATATAGTGGGTGTTGCAGGGGTGCACAAAAGACCAGCATGATGAGAGAGCACAGAGAGGTTTAATAGGTTAGGTAGGTGGAGGAGACTTACCTGAGCACCTTGGAATCTTCTGTACTGGCTTTCCCATTGTTGACTCTCCTTACCAGCTTCCCACAATGAAGTACTTTTTAAAAAACTTATAGGTTGTTGATAGTGAGTTTTGGCAATCACAATCAAGTTTAGATTCGCTACTAGCTTCCCCATTGACTTGTGGGAAACTAGTGGGGAGCATTATAAATGAAGATCATTGAAGCAAGACAGCCTTGAAGCAGCAACAGTGATGCTGAAATGATCACAACTTCCCAAAATTTTCAATCTCAGTGGAGTAATGGGTCCCATATTTTGGACACACTCTGTTACCCTATGATGTACTGTTTCACCCAATTGAAAGTTACAAACAAGCAGACAAAATAGTTTTAGTAGTATATAGGCAGAAGGAAAACATGTATGGAATTAGTTTGAATTACAGGTAATCCTCAATTTACAACCACAATTGGAACTAAAATTTTATTTGCTAAGTGATGCAGTCATTAAGTAAATCATCATTTGACCAGACCTGATTTTATAATAATTTTTATCATGTTCATTAACTGAGTCGCATGGTCATTAAGCAAATCCAGCTTCCCCATCAACTTTGCTCATTGGATGCCGTCTGGAAAGATTACAAATGTAATTATATAATCTGAAAATGCTGCAGCCATCATAAATACAAGTCAGTTGCCAAGAGTCTAAATTTTGATTATGTAACCATTGTAAGTCACTTCTTCCAAGGTGGTTGTAACTTTAGGTTGTCCTTAAACAAATAATTGTAAATTGAGAACTACCTGTACCTTCAGCAGAATTTCTAATTATTAATGTAACAAAGCCAATGAGTAAAATGTTTTTCCATTGCTTGGCACATCACAGTTATGATAAAATCTTTCCTTTTTGAGGTATATCTGACTCACATGAGGGTAAGGTTACTAATGACAAACAGCATTGCTTTGTCATAAAGGATGAAACTGACACTGCCTAACATACTTAGGATAGTCTTGATAAGAGCCATAAATTGGGATAAAGATGCAATTAAGCATCAAAAGGTAAGAATCTTCTTGGGGCATTTTACATTAAAGGTTGATTTATTCAACCCAAAATAGGACAATATTTATGTTTTTATCCTTTGTGAGTGAAATAGAATGCAAAAATTTAAGGATAATTTTTTAATCTCAGCATAATTGGAAAGCCGTGGTGGCGCAATGGTTAGAGTGCAGTACTGCAGGCTACTTCTGTTGATTGCCAGCAGTTTGGCAGTTCAAGTCCCACTGGCTCAAGGTTGACTCAGCCTTCCATCCTTCCGAGGTCAGCAAAATGGAGACCCAGATGCTTGGAGGCAATATGCTGACTCTTTTAACCACTTAGAGAGGGCTGTAAAAGCACTGTGAAGCGGTATATAAGTCTTAAGTGCTATTGCTATTGCTATTGCTATTGCTAAAATACAATGTAGTAAGAAAAAATGTACATACAAAGTATATTACAATATGTAAAAAAAATCAAGTTCTGGATTATAATCACCATAATTACCAGCCATCATAGCCAAAGGTTGGTTTAATTGGAGTTATAACCCAGCACACTTGGAAGGCAGCATGTTTCCTGTCTCTAGTTTCCATTCTCAGAACTTTTGTGATGCATTTTATCTTATATATGCTTCATATTTGTGTAGCCAAGAACATTTTGGAGTTTCCCAATATCTTTCTAGGATTCAAAGGATGTCTATTCTGGATGTCTTGGTTGATGTATTCTCAACCCTAATTTTCAGAAATGATTATTCTTGTAGCTTCTAGTTTTTAGATATTGATTCTGGGTAGGCTGGAAATATAATTGTGATTTTCAGATCAATAATAATTGACTGATGACCAGGTGCGGTTAATTGTTAGTTTTTTTCCAGCCAAAACAAGATTTGACATTTAGTACTGTTAAAAACAAACTATTTGATATAAATTTTAGTATGTTTACATTTTAAACAAGTGTTTCATGTTTATTGCTAAGAGAAAAGTTAAAAAATTAGCAATTATTACAATTTTTAGTTTTACTACATTGTTTATACTAAAAACAAAGCAGGAAGATTTGTGACCATTAGGAATTAATACAAGTTATAATTAATGTAATTGAATGTTTGTATTTTTCACTTAAGTACTCCAGGTGAACACAGCACTAGATTTCAGGCTGTTTCTGATTTTCATAATAGACTTCTTCATATGAGCCTTATCCCAAATTTTGTATATATATGAGGGTGGATTTGATTTAAATCATGATTTAAATCACTAGTAAAAAGGTTTGATTTAAACTGACTTGATTTAAATCATAATTTTTAAAAAGCAACTGTCATCTCTGTCCCACAGCAGCTCCTCCACTGACCTGCTGTTGACTCACCGGCAGTCCCAATATTGCAGAATATACAGCCTCATGCTACATAACTAAGCTCAATTTCATGCTGAATACACTAAATTATTAATGTATCTTAAATAGAAAACTATCTTTAGATAGAGTTTTACTCCAAAAGCATTTTATTAAAATAAATTTGATAAAAATAAAAAAAACATCCGATTTAAATGAAAAAAATCTGATTTAAATAAAAAAGCTCCGATTTTTTTTTAAATCATCAATTTTTATCCACCCTGATATATATTATTGGAATTCTAACAATTTGAGTTCACAAAAATAAATTTCTGTGGGAGTGAGTACATTGCAAGCATATAATAAAATATTTCTTTCTATTTTTTCTAAAGATACTAGAATTTATTGAACAAAGTATTGCTTAGTTGGGTTATACTAAATTACAAACACATTTTTTAAAAATATAACAGATTTGTGTCTTCCTTTTTTGCCATCCTCTTAGATGTGTGCAATAGTACTGATCTTCCCGAAGTTGAAATCATCAGTCTCCTGGAAGAGCAGCTCCCCCATTACAAGCTAAGAGCCGATACAATCTATGGTTATGACCACGACGATTGGCTTCATACTCCTCTTATTTCTCCTGATGTGAACATTGACTTAACAACTGAGCAGATAGAAGAGACATTGAAATACTTCCGTAAGTCCAGATATGTTCATTAGTAGTCAAATAATGCAATTATCTTTGAATGATCTTTTTTCCAGATTCTGGGCAAGTATTACATTATAAGTGGAACCATTTAAAATATGCCATTTTAACATCATTTTGTTGTAAATGGTATAATTTCCATCTAATTAGAATAATTTGAATGTACCGTTTTTTTCGGAGTACCAAAAAAACCCCCCAAAAAATCTGGGTGAAAATCTGGGTGCATCTTATAGTCCAAATGTAGCCCCACTCACCTGCCAGCCCCCACCCTTCGGACATTTTCATGCAGTTCCAGGTGGCAGGGATCTGGGTCGGGGCACAGCCTGAGGAACAAACCTCTTTGGGACAGTCTGGGAGGGGAATCTGCCCAGCGACTTTGGTGAACAAGGCGGGCCCCACGATTCACAGCTGGTCACCCCTATGGCTGCCCAGCGGGCAGCTCAGGGCAGACAATGTTTGCGATGACTTCACTCCCCAGCAATGTGAGGAGCTGCTGCCGCCTAAGCCCTCTCCGCGCCCAGGAGCTGAGCCAAGCTGAACCGGAGCCCCTAAAGTGAAATGTCCCTCCTTTCCAAACACCGCTGCCCATTGGCCGGATTCCCCAATGCAATTCTCAGAGCCGTGTTTCAGGCAGTGGCCAGTTCCCCTGCAATGTGCAGCAGGGAACCAGGAACCATTTTGGATTCGGGGAGGGGATTGCAGCGCTGCTGCCTGAAAATGCTTTTTTTCTCGTTGCACATTGCAGAGCTGTGTGCCCTTGTCCTCCTTCTCAGCAGACTCACCTTCTCTTTCCTCCTGGCCAGATCCACCACCTTAAACACGATGCACTTTTTTTAGCCTCTGCACACCCCACATTTGGAATCGGGAAGGGGATCGTGGGTCTGCCGCCTGAAATCACTTTCCTTTGGAATCAGGATAGATTCCATGCTCTGACCCTCCCCCCAGAGCATGCGAGGGGTCTCTTCGGGGGAAAGCGAGCAGTCCCTGCAGATCACAGGAGCACCCCAATAAGTTTTCTGGAAAATAACTTCTCAGTAATTGATGCCCTCTTTCCCAGCCGAGTCTCTGAGGCACCTCTCGCTTGCAGGAGGAGGAGGAGGGCAGCGTAAAGCAGTGCCACCTTAAATGCTGGTAGGCAGAGGTAGAATTCTTGTTTTCTTGTTTTCCTCCCCCAAAATTAAGGTGCGTCTTATACTCTGGTGCGTCTTATACTCTGAAAAATATGGTAGCTTGTGTATTTCAATTTTTAATTAAATTTTCAGTTTTTTTAAAATAAAATTTTATTATAAATACTATCACTGTCCTATATGACAAGGTCTGAAATCAAATAATTTCTTCTGGCATTCTTATCTTTCTTGTTTTTATACTTAAAATGTATGATAAGGCTGTGAAAACATTTGAAATAAATACTTTACAGAGTATTTCTTAGGAATGTGATGGCGAACCTATGGCACGTGTGCCACACGGGGCCCGCAAAGCCCTCTCTGTGGACACGCCAGCCGTCACCCCAGCCCAGCTCCGCTGCGCATGTGTGCACGCCTCATGTCAGCCAGCTGGTCTTCGAGTTTCTGCTGCACATGCATGGAGGGGCGCTTGTGTGTGACACAGGCATGCGTCGCAGGGCAGCGCGGTGCATGCGGTGCATGCATGGGGGGGTGCAGGTTGGTGCAGGTGTTTCAGGCTCAAAATGGGGCTCGGGGGCCTTACACGGCACCCCTGTCCCCCATTTTGGACCTGGAAAGGCTCCTGCACCAACCTGGAAGACAAAATGGGGTATGGGGCACATGCACGGGGGACACATGCCCATGCATGAGGGGTGGGCGCATGCACGGGGGACACATGCACAGGGGTGGGTTACATGTGCAGGGGGTGCTTGCATTGAATTTTGGGGTTTTGGCCACGCGCACATGCATTCACACGCGCACACGCTTTGGGCACTCGGCACCAAAAGGGTTAACCATCACTGTCTTAGCATTAACAAAACCCAGCTCTTTGAAATATACTTTGTAAGGTTTGAATAGCTGTCTCAGTGGGTATCCTTGCCTATCTGTGTATGTATGCTCAAACACTACTGTTAAGATGGAGGCAAATAAGCTATGCATGGCACACTAGCAGGCACTTGGTTACAGTTTTTGAAAAATCTGGGCAAATTTTCCAAAGGCTGACCCAGGGGCTTTCTGGAGCAGGAACAATGCTCCGACAATTCCCAGCTTTGTGGAAGCTTCACACTCTGCACTTTGCCGAAGGGTGACCAGACTAGAAGGCAGGTGAGCCTCAGACTGTCATTTGACAGCTGCTGCGGTGTATATCAGCCTGAATTTGCCAGCCCCTGCCTGATTGCAGGCATACTCCAGAGTGCCGCAAGCTGCTGCCGCAGATCGCAGCCCCATATTTCTGAGCCTCTGCCTGCTTGCGGGCATGCTCGTGAGCAGCCAATAGCTGACAATCTTGAGGAATTTTGAGTCGGTCGGCTCGGCGGCAAGTTCAAAATAGAGGAGGCGGCTTCTTCCACCTGCAGGGAGATCACTTCAGCTGGGGAATGCCCTGACAGGGATAGGAAGGCTGGTGAGACCACAGGAACCTCTCTCTCTTGGTCTGCGAGCAGGAGAGCCGCGGCTAGGATTTCTAAAAAATCGAAGGCCTTCGCTTTAACAGCCAAGCAGCTGAGTGAGATTCAGCAAGGCGCCAGAAGGCTATCGATCATGAGATAGCCAAGACACAGAAGAGATCTAGCAGAGGAGAACCTATGACACTTAGGAAGGAGTCTTCCCGCCATAATTCAGGGCGGTAGTTACCTCTGCCTCAGAAATCTGTCAGCCAGCCTCCACAATCTCTGTCAACAAATGGCACTGCAGAGCAACCTTTCAGTGATCTGCCCAGCAACAGGGAAATTCTGTATAGCTCTCTCCCAAATGCATTTTCTGCCATTTCTGCATGGCAACAGCCTGTCAGGAGCAGAGCCTCACCCGCAGAGGCAACCTTTACCCTGACTGCAGCGGGACTCTGCTCAGGGGATGGGCAGGATAGTAATATCCCTGCTGGCATGGAAGACTTAATATCTAAGGCCATTGAGCGATTCATAGCAGCTGGCTTACAGCAAAGCCATAGACCTGCTTCAGTCAGATCAGGCCTTTCCTTGCCTCTGAATCTGCCTCTTATGGCCCAGGCTTCAGGGGATTTTTTCTCCACACAGGGCTTTTATTCTCCAGTATCCTCCAATCACTCTGCTTTTCAGGAGGATATGGCTAGGGAAATGGAGCTATCGGAGGATGAGGGCTTAACCCCTGACCAGCCAGCCTTCGCTGGTCTGTTCCGCCCAGTGTTGTTCAAGTCCTTATTATACAAGGCCACAAGCACGGCACGCTTGGTGGATCATTTACCAGCCACAGACCCACCACCAGATCGCGGCCCAGGGGTTTGCTGTTTTCTGATCCTACGGCTGAGGCCGAAGTAGTCTCTTCGCCACAATTATCTGTGGACATTGTGCAATGGCAGTGGGCTATCCCAGGGGCAGGAGCAAATCCCAGTTCCGTGGATAAGAGGTTTTATATCATGGACCCAGGCTTGTCAAGTACACTTCAGGTGCCGATGTTGGGTGGGCCAGTGGTGACATTGGCTGCTCCATCAGTCATGACAGATTCCCCAGAGGATGCCTTCTGACCAGAGGACAGATGGGCTGAGCAGTCACTCAAAAAGGCCCACTAGGCAGCTGCTTGGGCTGTGAAGCTTCCACTGCTTCCACTGCAGTGTCCTTTTTCAATCGGGTCTCATTGATGTGGCTCCGACAATTACAGGACAGAATACCTGTTGCAGATGTGTGGTCTCATCAGAAACTGAACAAGCTGTATGCCGATCTTGAATTCTCCCCGGACACCATGCTTGGAGCGGCACAGTTTGCTTCAAAGGCCATCGTCTCAGCTGTCACTTCCAGGCACCTCCTATGGCTCTGTCAGGGGCAGGAGGATCCCAAGCAAAAGTGGAGACTGGCCTCTGCCTCGTTCTTCGGGGAACGCCTGTTTGGAGAGTCCCTGGAGCTGCTCCTCATGGAATCGCGGGACAAATGTAAGATCCTTCCATTTCTCTCCCAGCGGGTAGATTCCCGTCCACTGCCGTATTTCCACTGCCAGGCCTTCCAAGGGTCAGACAGCAGGGTTGGACCGCCTCGGTCACACCATCCCTTCCAGCAGAGGCAGGGCCAACAGCAGGATAGGGCGGGGAGATTCAAGCAGTTTCCCCATAGATGGCCCTTTCGAGGGGGAGAAAGCCGTTCTTTCAGACGCCAGAAATAATTGCCTCACTGGCTCTCCCATTGGGGGACACTTGGCTATGTTTGCCAGGCAATGGGAGAGCACTACTACAGATGCAAGGGTCCTGGAGACAGTCCGATTGAACTTCTCCTTGGAGTTCCTCTCCACATCCCCCCGAGGTTTTTCATTTACTGCCCAGTTTCAGAGAATAAGGTCAAGCGGGGCCTCATGGAAACCGCTATTCAACATCTGTTGGATATCCAAGTGATCCAACCAGTTCCAGAAGGCAAGCAGGGGATGGGATTTTATTCCATTCTCTTTGTCATTTCTAAAGCTTTGTGGGTACAGGGCAATTCTGAACCTCAAAAGACTGAACTGCTGCATAATCTACAAGTGGTTCAAGATGCATTCCCTTCAGTCCATCTTGGACGGCATCAGAGAGGGCGACTTCCTTACTTCTACTGATCTAACTGAGGCTTACCTTCATGTCTCTATTTTTCAGAGTCATAGGCAGTATTTCTGCTTTTATTACACAGGCCGGCACTATCAGTACAGAGCCTTGCCTTTTGGCCTGTCGTCAATGCCCAGGGCATTTACAAAATTGTTGGCGGCCTTGGTGGCACAACTCCGGGCTCTTCCCGTGTGGGTCCAGTGCTACTGTACCTGGATGACACCGTGATCCAGTCCACCTCTGAATACCAGGCATGTGAGGATCTCAGAATCACCCTGCAGGTGCTTCAGGAC